TGGATACAAGGAAGACACGGAGGTTATCGATTATTTCTTTTTCCTTCTCACTGAGTGTCTCAGAACAGCTTCAGGGCAAACCCATATACCCAGCAGAGGCCTGGCAGCTGAAATGCAAGTAGCACCTCTTCAGAACCGTATCGAAGTATAACACACAGAACCGGCCACACATATACTTCTACACATACGTCCATTTTATACTGCTAACTGATCCAAGTAACCAAACCTGGCAGCCTTCTGAAGGCCTCGCACCCCAATCAGGCTGTCCCAAGGCACACCAGGAGCAGCTGTGCGGGGCAGGCCGGCTCCGGGCACGCTGGCACAGCCCTGGAGGCCACACAGGGCCGGGCCCCGCGCACCCCGCACGGCCCAGGAGGCGCAGCCCTGTGCCGGGCACGGCCCGTCACGGCCACAACTTCGGTGCAAACTTGGTTCGCCTTGGGGTGACTGACATCTGCCACCAAACACCGGGAGGGAGCCGCGAACATCTGCGCCCACAGCAGAGCCGATCAGAGGCCTCGAGGAGTTCTTCCTTCGCAGCAAAGCGCACTTAGCAAAAAAGAAAACGCCAGAACGCGCCGGCAGCCCGAGCGCCGGCACCTGCTCGCGGCGAAGGCGTTCCCCAACTCTTTGTTCAACTCAAAACTCTTTTCCTGCACCGCGGGGTTCCCCGAAATAAACAAAGGCCCGACCCCGTCCGGCAGCGCGGCTCCCCGCGCGGGCTGCGAGAGCCGCGAGCAGGAGGCCACGGCCGGCCGGGCCCCGCGCCGAGCCCGGCGCCGCACACCCGAGGCCGGGCCCGGGCCGCCCCCTCCGCCCGGGGCGCAGCGCCGCGGCCTGCCCGTGCCGCCGCCCGCAGGCCCGGCCGGTGCGGGGCAGCCCCGGAGCCCGGCCCCGGCCGCCCGTCCCCGCGCGCAGGCCCCGCTCTCACCTTTAAGAGATTAGACGTCGCCATGATCCCCCCCCCCCGCGGGGCCTCCCGCCGACGGCGGCTCCTCTCCCCGGGCTGCGCTCGGCTCGGCTCGGCACTCCCCCGGCCGCCGCCGCTTTACATGGCCGCGGGCCGCCCGCCCGCCCGGCCCGACCCGCGGCGGCGGCAGTAGCAGCGGCCGCAGCTCCGGGTTCCCTTGCCCGGAGGCGAGGCCGGCACCGTGCTCGGGGCGCTCGGCGGCGCGACCGGCTGGCTCCTCCGCACGCAGCCGCCCCTCAGAGCCTCATGGCGGCGTCCGCCCAGGAGGCGCTCGGCAGCAGCCCCGGCTCCATGGAAGGGGCCGGCCCACATGATGCGGCGCCGCCGAGCCGGCCCCGCCGCCAAGCGCGGAGGGAGGCCCGGGCGGGAGCTCCGCCTGCGGCGCCCCCTGGCGGCCGTCGCCCCTCCCCGCGAGCGCGGCCCGACCTGAAGGCGCTCGGAGAGGCGGTCGCTTTTCTTCGTGAACGCGTTCGACTTCACGGTTCTTCTGTTCGATGAGACACGTGTGGTTTTAGGCACCTTCTGGGTGGGGTTTTTCAGCGTGTGGCTATAGGAGGCATAATTTTAGTCTTCTGTGTAAAAAGGAATCCTTCATCCAAAACGTGTCTTAAAGAAAACGTTTCAATTCTCCTCTGACCTCAGGATTCCTGTCATCCCAGCCCTGCCACCAGCACACGGTGTGCAGCAGCACCCACCCCCCCGTGCACAGAGGCGGGTGCTTGGATGGTTGCAGCCCCGCTGTGCCAAAGCGCGGCTGATGTTGTTCCTCTCCACCAAGCAGAAGTTGGAAAGGGAACTGGACGGGCTTGAAAAGTTGACCTACAGTGAGGTTCAACAAGGCCAAGTGCGAAGTGCTGCACCTGGATCGGGGACATCCCAGTTAGGAGTACAGACTGGGAGAAGTACTCATTGATGGCAGCTCTGTGGAGAAGGACTTGGGGACCCTGGTGGACAAAAAGCTGCGCGTGATCCAGCAGCGTGTGCTCACAGCCCAGAAGGCCACCAGAATCCTGGGCTGCATCAGCAGGGGGGTGGCAGCAGGAGAGGGGAGGGACTGTCCTTCTCTACTCTGTCCTTGTGAGGCCCCATCTGAAATATTACTCCTGGGCCTTGGGGGACTCGGTACAGGAAGGATGTGGAGCTGTTGGGTCGGGTCCAGAGGAGTGTCACAGAGATGATCAGAGGGCTGGAGCACCTCTCCTGTGAAGAAAAGTTGAGGGATTTGGGCTTGTTTAGCTTGGAGAAAAGAAGGCTCCGGGAAGACCTCATGGCAGCCTTCCACTACTTGAGGGGAGCTCATACTTGGGAGGAAGACTGACTTTTCACATGGGAGGATAGCAACAGAATAAGAGGGAATGGCTTTAAACTAAAAAAGGAGAGATTTAGAACTGTCAGAAGAAATTCTTTACTCAGAGTGTGGTGAGGCACTGACACGGGCTGACCAGAGAGCTGCAGGTGCCCCGTCCCTGGAGGCATTCAGTGCCATGTTGGGTGGGACCATGGGCAGCCTCAGCTGCTGGGTAGCAACCAGCCCATGGTGAGGAGTTGGAACTGGATGGGCTTTACGGATTCTTCTAACCCAAACCATTCTGAGCATGTTCCAGTGTTTGACCACCCTCACAGTGGTCATTTTTTTCCTACTGTGCTGTCTGAACCTCCCCTGGTGCAGCTCTGTGCTCTCAGAAACAGCCCTATACCTCCCTCTGCTTCCCCTGCTCAGAGGGCTGCAGGGAGCAGTGAGATCTCTGCTTGGCCTCCTCTTCTCCAGACTGGACAGCTGAATGTCCTCAGCCTCTCCTCACAGGACATGCCTCCAGCCGTTACCTGTTGTGTTACCCTCTTCTGGATGCATTCGAGCACCTTAACATCCTTTTCATATTGTGGAGTCCAGTACTGCGCACAATACTCAAGGTGAGCCACACCAGCACTAAATATAGCAGGAGAATCACCTCTTCTGACCAGCTGGCTATGTTGTGTTTAATGACCCCCAAAAGGTGGTTTTCCCCTTGGCTGCCAGGGCGCACTGCTGGCTTGTGCTGAGCTGTTGTCACCAGCACCCCCAGGTCCCTTCTTGCTCAGCTGCTCCGCAGCCACTCCGCCCCAGTCTGCCAGTGTCCGATGTTTTCCATCCTGGGTTCAGCACCCAGCATTTTCCTTTGTTGAACTTTGTGCCACTGCTTATTGCCCAATGGCCGCAGTCTATCCAAATCCCTCTATAAGGCCTCTTGTCCCTCCTCCATTCCTTCATTTCTATCATTTTTTTCCTCAGCTACCAGGAGAAACACTGATGACTTTCTCATTGTCTATCTGGAAGGGCAGTGGCAGAACAAGAGGCTCACAGCCACCACTGGGGTCAGTGCGAGCAGTACACAGGAAGAAGTGCCTCAGATACAGCCTTAGACATCAAACACTGGGCCTCTCTCCTGGCTTCTAACGACTACAGCTCTGTTCTCTAAGGGGTCTATCTCTCATGGGGAAATGGGGAGGACAGTGCTTTCTGAGCCTTTTCTGGGGCATACAGTGAAGGATATGTTTTGAAGATAAATTTGTACTGTAAGGCATAGAGACCCAAAGTCGTTAGCCCTATAGAAAAGCTATAAGAAAACATTCAACAAATCTGTGCTCTCTGAAAATTTAGGTAATGTTGACTAAATAAGGCTTGCAGCCTTATTAAATTAATAAATAGCCTAATTAAGGCCTTCTCTTAACTGAGAAGTAACACAGAGGTACTCTAAAGTTTCTTGTTTGACAAAGTTTCCAGTTTCAGGATATTTCAATTAGTCTTTAATTTTTTGTTCTTTGCTGTTATGTAGAATAAATATAACTTTCATTAAAGTATATATGCAATATTCATTGTATATATAAAGCATGCAACTATACAATTGTACGTATCATACATAACAAGATAATACAGATGGAAGTGTATTACACACTTTCCATTGTGTACATATTCCACAGCAGTGCTGATATTATGAGGTCTCTGGCAAGGTCTGTAGAATGTGTGCATTGTGTACGTGTGTGTCAGCCACAGCATGAGTACTGCTTTACAGGTACCTATGTCTGTGAACCAGAGAAGCTGAGATACAGGCAGGTATTCTGTAGGCTGTGACATGGAGGCAGACATTTCTGGCCACTACTCCATGAACTGGTTTATCCTCTTTTCCTCAAGCTCTTTTAAAATGAGACTGTTTCCAATTATTTGAGATTTGGTTTTCCTTTTAGTTTCTATCACTTCTCTTAATTTTTAAGTACGTGCTTGGTAATAATGCCACTATTTGGTGGCACTATTTTTCAACTGTTTTGTGAAAGAAATTAAATCGTTTACCCAGAAAAAAAAAAAACAAAAAAAAAAACAACCAAAAAAACACCCACAGAAATTTGCCAGAAATAGTACTCCATAAAGAACTTCCTCTTGGTTCTCTTTGATTCAAAGCTTAGAGTACAAAACCACGATGCAAATCACTAGAATTTTATAACTGCATAGCACTAAGTTTTAAAGTGATTTATTCCATAATGCTACTTGTCTGTTATAAAATATACAAGGCCAAGATGTCCTTTATTGTATTATTTACCCCTGCTTTTTTATTTTTTAAAGCTATGTTTGTTTCTTTAAGGAGATCTTAAGTTGCCCGAGGAGGCTGTGGATGCCCCATCCCTGGAGGCATTCAAGGCCAGGCTGGATGTGGCTCTGGGCAGCCTGGTCTGGTGGTTGGTGATCCTGCACATAGCTGGGGTGTTGAAACTAGATGATCATTGTGGTCCTTTTCAACCCAGGCCATTCTATGATAAGCTATGATATGATCTTTAAGTCCAGCCTTAGCAGGGTGTCTACATGGAAACAGAAAGCTCAGCAATGTGACAGGGGCTGGGGCATGGGCAGGAGCCTGCTATTCCTCTCCCACTTCCCTTTCCATCCACCACCCTGATGGATTTCTCCATGTTTGCACGTTTAATGCAAACTTACTTGCACAAAAATATAAGTACACACAACATAACAACAGTTAAGTACTTTCTGTGGTCTTGTTTGTTGCAGGCAACCTTAGAGGTCCTACAGCCACAGCAGTAACATTCATGCAGTTGGCCTGGAAGGAGTGGTGATGAAAGCACTGAGTACAAGTATTGAACATTATACTCTGCCCTGATACGCTCCCATGCAGTAGCTGTGAGTGGTGCCAGCCTAGGAATAAGGAACATCTGAACAACACTTGAACAATTGATTCTGAACAACTTTATCAGCAACTGACAGTAGGAAAAAATTCTTTGTTCAGAGTGCAGTGAAGCACTGGCACAACTGCCCAGAGAATCTGTGAATACCCATCCCTAGAGGTGCTCAGTGCCAGATAAGATGGGAATCTGGGCAGCCTGAGCTTGGGGAGAGGACAGCCCTGCCCATGCCAGGGGTCTGGGGGGTGATCTTCAAGGTCCCCTCCAACTGAAGCCATTCTATGATTTTATGATAAATAAGAAGCTCTGGGAGATCAGATTCTAACAGATATTAAAAATAATGATTATTTCATTTCATTTCATTTCACACGCCTTACATAATGATAGTTTTTTTTTTTTTTTTTTTTAATCTGTACATTACTTTCTGGGAAATAAAGACATCTCTGAGCCTCATGGTTTTGCTTCGTGGCATTTTAGTGCCACTTTGGGGCAGTTTGAAAGTAAAAAAGTGTTACATAATCTTACCTCATTTGCTTTAATTCTGCTGCAAATGGACTATTACTACATTCTGAGGGTAATGAAGATACTAGTTTATGATTAGTATATGGTGGTACAATGGTCTACAGTTTTATATACTTTGCATGGATTGTAAAATACGGAGTGAATGACATTTAATCCAGGAGCTGTCTGTGGGTTCAGAATGATTTGCTAGTGATAGCTCTCTAAGATTTGGCTGATCAGTAAAATGAATAACCTGCCTAATATCCTAGATGGCTTGCAGTGAATTGAGCCCAGGGGCAAACCTGCTGACTGTGAGCTGCATCAGAGAGAAATACGCACTGCTATGCTCCCATCTAATTCCCTGAAACATATTTTCTTCTAATTTGCACTTAGTCCACAATGGAAATAAGCATTTGATGGGTGATTAGTCAGTTTTATTCTCCTCTCCACTCAAACTAGATCTGCTCAGTAGGGATAATAGATCTTGCGTTCTTTCCTTCAGCAGGAAAGTGTCATTGATTGCTGCAGTGGGCAGTCAGGATCCTTAGCTTGACCTATGCCATGGCAGTCTCTGAAGACAGCTCTTTTAAAGAGGTGAGGACAGACAGACACCTGCACCCGTAGCTGAAAAAAGAAGTAATGTTGGTGACCAAACTTTTCACATGGAATTTCCTCTGCGTTTCTACTTTAACAACAAAGGAAACACTTTTATTTCTGGTGTTTACTATTTGGGCTTCATGTCACCCTTTTAGCTGATTACAATAGCGTTATGGAAAAATTGCCTGCCTTGTGGGAGTTGAGGTGATTACTGTTGCTGCCACTTAACACTGTTTAAGATGTTGGTATCATCTCAGCACCACCAGAATCACCTGCCCTGCGCATCTCCGGATGAACCATTCATTCTTATGCTGACATTGTCCTTTAGATTAAATAACTCTGTCCCTGATGTTTGTTATTCTCTGATACACTGCTAGACAACAGTGTTACTCCCTCACATCTTACTCAGTGGAAACCTTTGTGCTTTCTGTTGTGAGTCCCAGCGAGGACTAGATGGAATGCTGCAGAGTTGCTATGGGAGGGCTTTGCCAAGGAAGAGTTCTGAGATGGGGAGAAGCACACAGTGTGCACTAGACAAAATGTGGCCATTGCTCCACACCCAGGCACAGGGCTGCAGAGGACTGCTGCAGAGAATTACATCTGATCTACTTTTTCCTCTCCTATCCTTTTTTGGATAGGATACTATCCAACACTTTACCATTTCACTCAGTGTACTCAGGGAGTTAGAATTCGTGAAGCATGGTGGTATGTAAGAGGATATAACACGAAAAGTTGCCATTTCATATGCTGCTTTTCTGACACTTGCTTACATGTGTAACTCCTTTTCAGTGCTCAATGAGCTCTGTCTGCCCTTTGTTTTAAAAATTCTCTGGGAGGCAGACACTGTTTCCCACTGGGAACTGGCTGGAGAAAGGTCCCAGTAAAATAAATGGAGTTGCTATTTCAGTAGTCTGACTAACTTGGAACAGAGATTTGTGGCTTCTAAGCTTCTGCCTTGGTGTAACAAGCAAGTTTCATTGTGTTTAACGCTGGCCAGACATAAGGGAAATGACAGAAATAATCTGCATGGAGGAGGCTTGTTTCTTTTTCCTCTTAATAATAAACAGTAATTATTTTCAAATAGGAAATCAATGTAAAATGTGATTAAGTAGCTGAACTATGTGACAGGACAAAGGGAAATGGTTTCAAACTTAAAGAGGGAAGATTTAGGTTGGATATAAGGAAAAAGTCTTCTATGGTGAAGGTGGTGAGGCACTGGAACAAGTTGCCAAGAGCAGTGGTGAATGCCTGTTCCTTGGACACACTTTCAAGACTCTGAGCAGCTGACTGAGCTGCAGAGGTCCCTGTTCATTGCGGGCGAGCTGGACTAGATGGCCTTTAAAAATCCCTTCCAACTCTGAGGATTCCATGATTCTATTTGCTTCGCATTGAAAACCAAAACTGAGAGTCCTCACAAGTGCAGCAGAACAGTGCAGCCCTGGCAGCTTTTTATTACTAGGATTATAACTGAACTATTTGCCTTAATTTCTCCCTTTAGTCTTAGTACCTTAGTACTTACTTTAAAAATCGTAGTTGTTGCTCTCATCCTATTGACTGTCCTACCTTAGAGCCAAATACAACTTCTGGTGTCCTTCCTGTAAAGAAGACCTGCAAGAGAGAAGATGGAATGGGAAGAAGTCTGCAAAGTGGGTGCAGTGCCTCAATGATTGATACCCAGGCACTCCCGGTGGCTGACTGCTCCTGGGGAGCAGTAGATTTCTGTATTTCCTGTTCCAGTGGCTGCTTGTGGGAGCAACAGCTCCAAGGAGAACAATTGCTGAGAGGAGCTCTGTGAGTACAGCTCTTCCATGTCACTGCATAGAAAAATATTTTTGAGTTCTCAGAATCAATGTAGTTTTCTTTACACATAGGCTGCATTCCCACTAATTAAGAATTGTGCAAGGCAAATTATCTCCAGAAACCTGTACAACCTCATAGTCTTGATGTTACACTGTGCTGGCATGTCTTCAGTCGCATTACTTTCATGAGATCTGCACTCTGGAACATGATAAACAATTCTGCCATGCTTAATAGTAAAATCCAGCTTTTCCACGTCTATATTTGCTTCATGGAGAAGGAAGTACTACTGAGTGAAATGACATCATAGGTAGAGAGATGGTTTTCGGACGAAAGCCTCAAGCAACCTGTCGCTAACCCCAGGCCTTGAATTACTACTGGAAGTGGGCTGGAACATAGATATACATGCATCCATATTCATTTTTCTCTCTGAGGTCAGAAAGATGCTTTTTTTTTTATCAAGTCCTTCCAGTTTTAATTAAGATTATTACTAATCTTAAGAAATGGAGGGCTCTTGGAATGGTTCCAGAGGAGGGCCACCAAGGTGATCAGAGGGCTGGAGCACCTCTCCTATGTGGAAATGTTGAGGGAACTGGGCTTGTTTAGCTTGGAGAAGAGAAGGCTCTGGGGAGACCTCATTGTGGCCTTCCAG